TGTGAGGGACGTGCCTAAAGAGACGCTAACACAAGCAGTCTCTGGACAGCTACCTAGGCATGGGCCTGCAACCTCTGCCATAGGCTCATGTGGGTTAGGAGTGTCCTGTTCGCGCGCACTCACTTCTCCACATGGCCTGGAAGTAGGGGCAGTTGCGACCCCTACTGGCGGCTGCCATTTGCCTGCAAAGCAGCCCAATGGGCCTGTCTATACTTTGGACAAAATTTAATTACGTGCGCCGGGTCACCACAGAATACGCACTAACCCAGGTTCACGAGTTCCTGCCATAAGCGCTGGTCCAAGCCCAGATCTTCCCAGGGCCTGCCCTGCGGCAAGCCTGGGTGCCATCCTCCTTAAGGTGCCCTTCCACCTCCTCGTTGTGGGGACCGGTTACCCTAGCGATTTAATGGGGGACCTTGACCCCTACCTCCCGCTTGGCGGTTTCCCTGTCCCCCAACCCCCTGTCCGGTCCTCGGCCTCCCATGGCCTGGCCCTTTTGGCCCTGGCCTCCTTTTCTACCTTGCGGCCTCCCTCCGGCCGCGACAGCAGCGTAAGACCTCCCCTGCCCTACACAACTGTGCTCCTCCCCTAGGCCCCACTCAATCTGATTATATGGGACCTCTTCTGTACCACCCTCCTCTAATGTCAGGATCAAGTGATCCTTGGCCTTGACTTGGCCCGAGATGGTACGATCTTTCCACTTCTTCCCCTTCTCCAGGTCCTTATGCCAGAAAGTGGTAACTGGCATAGACTTCGACTCATACAGGACGACTTCTCTACTCAATACATCGTAAGTCATGCCGGCCTGCTGAGATTTGTCAAAGAAATGCCCGCGTAGGGCCTCTGGAATGGCACGATAAAACAACTCAACACTGGGGCTCAGTGACCCCGTGGTCCGGGACGGCTACCAAGTCGTCCATAGTACCCTTGAGTGCCTTAGCACTCCTCCAGTGTCGGGAGTGGATCGTTTGGAGTTTATCAGAGGCTCTAATCGCGTTGGGTCACCGAACCGCTCCTTGAGGAGCTTGAGGAATTGGGAAAGAGGAGTGACTTTGGAATATGCAACCAGGTTGTTTTCACAACCGGCTGTACGCGCGAGAGACCTGGCGAAGCTAACCGCTTCGTCCTTCAGGGCCTGGAAGGCCACGAGGACTTGCTCCTCTATTAGGATATACTGTAAGTAAATGTAACTATTGACACTGGCCTCCCAGTTGTCAAAGTTCTCGTCCTTCTTTCCCCCGTACGCGTCTGGGAACTTAAGTTTCACTGGGTCCTTACGTGGTCTGCCCTCTCCTCCTACAGCGGCTGCAGCTTTGGCACCCTCAATGGCGCCCTCACAAAACTTCCCTACATTGTCTCTCAACTGTTTGACATCGCCCCCAATGTGGGTGACGATTTCGCGCGCAAAATCCCTAAACCCGGACCGCATGGCACTCAACACTACATCCTGGCTCCAGCTTGCCTGCCGCTCCTCCATCCAGGCCTTGCTCAACACCTCTAGATAGCCCAGTACTTTGTCCCACTTGGCCTTATCATTTGGCTGGGCCAGCACCTCCGCTCGACACTCCTGCACCTTCGCCACTGCTGCGGTCATCTTATTCACTTCCTCTCTCCTCCTCTTCTTCTCCCTCTTCATTCTCAACTTCCATGCTTACTTCTGCTCGTCTTCCCTCTCTCTTCGTTCCATTGGGTCTGTCATGGCTGCTAGCTCAGCGGCCAGCGCAGCCTTCTCATCCTTAGTCACATAGGACTCCGCCTCCTCATCTTCCCCCAACGATAAATTAGCGACCCACTCGCTGATCTTCTTCTCCAGCTCAGTGTCTGTCTCMCWCTTCAYYGTGCCACCACTGCTCCCTTCTCCACTCTCAATTCTCATTCTCTCTTTCTCTTCTTCTGCTGCCGCTTCTGCTTCAGCAGCTTTTCTTCTTTCTTCCTCCTCTTGTTGCACTCTCTTCATCTCCTCCTCCAACCTCTTCATGTTCGCCGCCTGCTCATCTGCGATAGCCTTTAGCTTCGCCTGCTTCTCGCGCTCTCTTCTCTCCTTGTTCTCTTTCACTAAGGCGGCCATTTTTGCTTGCTGCTCAGGGGTGTAGGGACTAGTCTCCGTCCCACTGCGGGTCTCAACCATGGTGATAAGTGTACAACCGGGTTAGTGGTTCCAAACCTCACCACGTAGACTCTGACCCGTGACTGATAAACCTATAGACTCGATCTCAGACTTACAGAATCCTGACAAGGACCCTGTCAACTATGGTCTCTAGCCTAGACCTATGCTATGGCTGTCACTACTGAACCAGTGGCTGATCAAGAGGCATTTAAGGAGATCCCCCGTAACTCCTCAAGAATTCTTTAACGTCGCAGTCAGGACGACGTGATCAGCTTGGCTCTGCCTGTGCTTTCAGCCCACAACTCGGCCTTTCCAGCCTACTGTGCCACACTGAGCAGCCCGCCGGTCTGTACCGGTCCTTGGGAGGGTTCGTATCCCCCGGGACAGTCGAGTCGTCAGACACATATCATCACCCTTACTTGGTCTGGTAGGGGATTGGTTCCAACAGGCCCTCAACACTTAAAGACGGCCTCCCTTTCAGCCTGCAGCTCAGAGTTCGGACCCTCTACASTGAAACTGAGCAGACCTGCCGGACAGTACCGGTCATTGGGCTAGACGAGTTGTTTAACGAGCGCTCGCCGCTCATGCCCAGGTCTCCAGATACCAGAGTAGAGATTAGTCCTAAGTCTCGTGCAGGTTTGGCAGCAAGGCCCTATCCTTCATCCACAGAGTTCTATGACCTAGGACAGAAGAGACTCAATGCAGAAAGAATAGACAGACAGACTGTACTCAGCAAGTACCAAGGGGTATGTGCACATCCATAGGGCAAGGGACAGGCTAAGGGCGTGGCGAGATGTTACCAACTTCAGCTTGGTCAAAGTCTTGGTCAACGCATTGGTCAACGCCTTGGTCAACGCTGCTATGCCCCTCGGTCAACTTCGGTCAACTCCGGTCAACCCTCTTGGTCAACTCCCCGGTCAGCTATGGCTGCTGGCGCTTCTTCCTCGCCAATCCCCTTCTTCTTCTTTACCTCCCTCGCCTCCTCTCTCCCGATGTCTTCTTCTTTCTCTCTTTTTTTTTTTTTTTTTTTTTTTTTCGGCCTCCTCTTCACCTCCTAACCATGGCCGCTTCTCTCCCTGCTCGGTCTCTCCCCCTCTGTCCTTCTCCCTCCTACTTCGTCACTCCGTGGTACCGGCTCTACGGCTATGGCCGCTGTCTTTATTCTTCGTGGACTGCGCGGCAACTTCACAAGTACGTAACAGCCAATCTTGTATCTCTCATCTCTCTCTCTCTCTCTCTCTCTCTCTCTCTCTAGCGCGCGCGCGCCGTAGCGGTATCTTCAGCGCAGCACTTATGTGTAACCCAATCTTGTATCTCTCTCTCTCTCTCTCTCTCTCTCTCTCTCTCTCTCTCTCTCTCTCGGTCTTCTTCTTTGTCGTGTCTTCTTGCAGGTGCGCGGCGGCTTCTTCAACCTCATGTCCGCTGTGGCGGACTATCTCCCTCGGCTGCCACCTCGGCTATGGCGCATCAGGCCCTGCATACGACGGCGCGCATGGAATAGCGGGTACCAGCTCCGATACCAATGCAATCAGACTCGTTCTCAAACACACTTTTCATGCATGTAAACAGCAACGCAGCATACTGGCGACATGCGGCCACTCAAAAACTCGGAGATATGGCTTTCAGATACGAGTTCACTCTCAATTAGCTATGGCGACTTTAGCGCCCAAACATCTCACTGTTCACATACACGGGATCACCCTGGATATCCCACACGCATCACTCTAACACTCGAGCACACACACACACTCACTACTACCAACGGCTATGGCAGCTGTCGCTGCATCTAACCTATCGCTATACTAACTCCCTCTCTCTTGCCCACTGCGTCCTCCGGGCTCATCTGCAGACCTCCTTGCACAAGTCGCTGTGGCAGCGCTTCCGCATGGCTCACGCAGGAATGAATGAATGGGCGATGCCTCTTGATTTATACTTCAGAAACTCGTTGGTCTGCCCTTTGCCATCGGCCCTTGGTGCTCACAGTCCCCCTGTGGTACTTGCTGGACCGGACTGGGACTGACTGGACCTTCCGCTGACTGACTGTGGACTCACCGCCATCCTACCGACGTTGTACTGCTGTTGCACTGCGGTTTTGTCCACCACTTGCCTTGCCACTTGACCACTTGCCCACTTGCCTATCTTCTAGAAGGTCTACAGCTAAGCTTCCAGAACTCACTAAGACTCCTACGCTATAGACCTACAGATCGAACCCCTGAAGGTCTACAGCTAAGCTTCCAGAACTCACTAAGACTCCTACGCTATAGACCTACAGATCGAACCCCTGCTGTCTATGGACCTACGACAGGTCTACCAACTGCCTATGAAAACACAGGTCACAGGTTCAATTCTCGGGGTCTACACAGATACTGTACATGGGTAGGGTGAGGTCTAGGGATCGAACCCTGGGTACTGCATCCGCTACTGCTAAAAGGTGAAAACCGTTTCAGTTTGACGACTTGCACATATACCTTTCTTCGGCTTCTGGCTAAAAATAGTATCCGTTCTCATCAGTTATAATATCAGATCCGTGGTCTCTCAGAGCACTTTAAAAAAAGAAAAAAGAAGCTTTGTTCAAACACCTAAAATAAAAAGCTCGGCATCAAACTGATATATTAACTTCATTTCAAACAAAACAAAACAAAAAAAAAAAAAAAAAAACTGTATTCAGTCACTTCCGCAGAGATCTTGTCTTGCCGACAACCAGCTCCTTATCCCCCCCGCCCACAACAAACCAGCTCCTAATTCGGGGCATCCTTCAGAAGGATTGGAACGATACACAGAAGATTGGCATGGCCCTGTGCAAGGATGACACACATAACTCGAGAAATGGTCCATAGTACTCCATACTTGTTAAGTTATTATAATAAGAAAAAAAAACTCCAGGGTTACTAACCTGTGTTGGAATGATAAGTCCTTCGTTGTTTGCTGGGAGAATTGACGACCACTCCGCTGTTTGGATATCCTTGGCAGGCATTGCATCGAGGAAGGATGTGACATGGGCGTCCACTTGCGTTAAGATGGACTCATCCGCCGTAAGATTAATGATTGTACCACTCTTCCTAAGCAGACTTTGCCGTATCTTCTCAAGTGATGCAACAACGCTTGGCCAGTCCCATTCGACCTTCGCTTCAAGATCCTTCAGATAATAAAAATAACTGCAATGTACACAGCAAAGAACAAGCGTTCTCGTAAACTTTGTGAGATATGGGGCCCCGCGGCATTACACTAAACTCACGAAAAAGTTACAAGCGTTCATCGAGAGCTGTCAGACCAAAGAAATGGCCACAGGTGCTGTCATCGCTGCACGCACTCTCGACTCTCAACTCTCTACTCTTGGAAGCACTCTCATGAAACCTGAGAAAACTACCCCACAGCCCCACGGCCGACTGTCCGCCCAGACCCGCCCCCCCCCCAAAAAAAGGGCCTTGCAGGCGAGCATTGTAGAATCGTCAATCGTTTGTGAGGAGGGAAGTTTCTGACAGCTCTTGAGAAAGGCTCTTGAGAACTCGAGAGTTGTTGTAATTCCGAAACAACAGCTTCGCTTCTTGCTTCAAAAGTAGCCTTGAAAGTTTCGCCAAAAGTTTTTTGACTAAATAAAACAAAACCCACATAATGCAGCGATGACCCACTCCCAACGTTGTCTCGAGTGCATCTGACAGACAGCTCTTGAATGGGAATTTGTGTGCTGCAGCGTGAAGAGCTAGTGCAGCGATGACTGACGCTTGATTTGTCAAGATTGGAGCGTAGTGCAGCAAGGCCCATGGGGGCGGGTCCAATACATCGCTGAATCTGCAATTCACCATAAGCAGATCTCAATGATCGGTTAAAATGGGAATGATACAGAGAAGGGTAATTAGCATGGGCCCTGCACAAGGATGGCATACATGATTGGAGAAACATTCCAAACTAAAAGAAAGGGACAAACTTTCAAAAAAGCAGATGACCACCATCAGAAACTGTAGAGCTGGATTGAAGATATAGATATACGAGTCGGTGAAATCCAGATGAAACAGTCTGTCCCCCTCTCCCCCCCCATTTCTTGTCCTTTTCGCCCTTTCCCCGTACAGCTCACAGGGCAGTTCCTGTTGATGATACATACGTATAGAATTTATTATAGATGATGATAGATGGAGCAGACAACAGCAGGCCTACTAGGGAGGGCTGCTCTTATCACCCGCCCCTAGCAGACCTGCTCCGGCCTTAATCTAAACAAAAATATATATATCGTCACAAATAGAACTGCCCGGTAAAATATATATATATAAAGTAAGGAAAAGAAAGAAATAGAGCCTTCTTCAAGTTTTATTATGGATGAAATTGTCAAAAATATATCGTCAAATAGAAATATATATATATATATATACCTCCATCAGTCCAAAGTGTGCTCTACTTTGGTGAAACTTGATCCCGGTGACGATACATACATACATATGGAGTCTACTATAGATGACTACGTAGCACTGTGTTCGCATTTGGAGGCGAACGAGAACATGTTCGTCTGAACGTGTGGAAGTCCCCATATCTACCCCTAAAGACATCGTAGAGTCGCCATATCTACCCCTAAAGACATTCAAGACGTCGTCTCTAAGTATCAACACTCGCAGAAAGAACTGGAGTTGTGGAAAGGGGGACAGTGCATGCCAAAGAGATTCTACTTCCGAGTACAGCCCCCAAAGGAAAAATTTATAGAATGTCTCCGACGTAGTTTGATCTGTTTTGCAAGCAACTGAAGGAACTAACTACCAAGGGTTGGATCAAGCCAACTACCTCACCCCTAAAGGAAAAATTTATAGAACGTCTCCGGTGGAGTTCGATCAGTTTTGCAAGCAACTGAAGGAACTAACTACCACAAGGGTTGGATCAAGCCAAGTACCTCACCTTACTGGTCTCTTGTGTTATTTCTACCCAAGAAGGGAGGGGCATTAAGGATGTGCAATGTAGGTACTGCAGCAAGATAAATATGAAATCTGGGTACCATCAAATACAGATAAGACCCAAGGATCAGCACAAAACTGCATATCAAACTCATTATGGCTGTTTAAGTCTGTGGTGATGCCTTCTGGGCTCTGTAATGCGCCTAGGATATTCCAGCATGCCACAAACAGAGCGTTTCATTAGCTAGTGGATCTTATCTTTGTCTGATAAGCCGATCCATTGATGATAATATGCCCATGGGGACAACATCTACATCACTGAGAATGTTGTCTCCTTTATAGGATTCTACCACCTGCTGATGTACATGCCCTTCTAACGCCTACTCAGTTGCTAGTGCACCTACGAAGTCTGCTCTCCTCCAGAAGGCAACAACTACCGCATTGTGGTCACCTTTCACGTGCTTCAGCATGAGGTCATACATATCTATTACTTGTACCCAATGCTTGATAGCACCAGGAAGTGTGGGCGGCATCTTGATCCACTGGAGTGTGTGATTGTGAAATCAGACCTCAAAATGTGTGCCATGGAGGAAACACTTCCAGTGTTTTACCCCCATATAGCGTGCAAATCAAACTCCATGTGATAGGTGAAATTTCCCAGCTTTTCAAACGACATCTTCTTAGGCATGTACTCCATGGGTCTGAACTTAATCCCCACTGCTCCTGTAACACTGTGCCTATTCCTAATTGAATTGAGTCAGTGGTAACGCTAACTGGGTTATCGGGCTCCACAATCGTGAGGTTAGGGTGATTCACGAGGGTACATTTTAATCTCCTAAAAGCCCACTCAGACCATTTGAGGGGCTGGCTATACTGCTATAGTTCTCTACGATAAATCTGTAATTTGCAGCCATCCCCAAGGCCTCAAACGCTTCAACAAAGATCTCATGACCCATATACTAATCCTGTACCGGTGCTTTCGGAGGAGATCTAGGACCATTGTTACGTGTTCTGCGTTCCACATAATCTTCCAAGATAGAAAGCTGTGTGATGAGTACAAGATGGTGGATGGATTGTTGCTCTTGAGTAAGGAAGGCGTAGAAAGATGTGTAACCGCTAATGAGTGTCTCAGGAGTCTACTCCTTGGAGAGGGCCATTACGCTACAGGATGCTTTGGGTTTAAGAGGCCTTCAGCATGGAGGACGCGCGGCAAAAGGAAAACAAGAGACTGCAAGGGAGGATGAGGGACGCACGAGCAGTGCTGGCGTGGAAGGGTGTGGCAGTAGGAGGAGGAGGGACTACGAACAGGACCTCATGTGTGTGTGCTGTAGATTTTCACCACAACAGCCCCTGTTCCACCAAGATAGTAGATCCAATATCAGTGCAGCTTAACCTCTATTGAAGACAATGACGCACACTTGAGATGAGCCATGTTAACAATGACACAGTTTCACCTCTATGGCAAGCAACATGGAGCCAAAGAGCTCCGTTATACCGCTTTCTTTCCTATCTTTACTTTGGCTTTCTTTGGGTACCCCTGCTATTTGTTCTTGCAGCCCCCTTTTCACTATGCCTCTCACGTACAAGGCTGGCCACGTTGATTGTGGTTGAGCCCCAGCTGCCCACACCCGCGTGTGCCTTAACGGCCCACTTCCACGTTATGAAAGGAGGCAGAGTAAAGGGGGAGGTATACTCGTGTTTATTCATCTTCACATCTTCAGTTTATATTTTGTCTGTTCTCTTAATGATGCTCATTCATATGCATTTACTAGTAGTGCACAAGAGGAGGGAGGAAGGAAAGGGGTAGGTGGTGGAGTTCTATAGGAAGTGAAGGGCAGGGGAGGGAGAAGGGGTAGAGGAGGGAAGTGGAGGGGCAAAGAACAGAGCAGAGGAAACATGAACTTCACAGAGTTCTCATGACTCACCGCTGGAGCAGACCACTCTAGAATAGCACAAGAGGGAAGTCAGTGTTTGAATTGAAGGAGATTTTGAGTAGGGAGCTGCCGTTGCTGATGGTAACTGGCCACCCCTATAGAGCAGACAGGACCAGTTCGGGGGTGGACTGTGGAATGTCTTTTAAGCTTCCATTTTGCTTTTTCATTAAACCAGCAGTACTACCTCCGAGCCTTTTTTTCCTGACCTGGATTTGTGCAGCGTGCCAAGTCAAAAACGAACCGCCACTGCGTAATTATTCTGCTTTTGGTTGTTGGAGGTCGGGCAGGCCGAGCCCCCACAACTTTCGGATGTATACATTCTCATTGGAACGCCTTGCCCGTGAAAGGCACGCGTGGTTCAAGTCTTGTGATGCGAGTTGCTACGATCATTGCTTTGTTGTTTCTAGTCTGCATACACATCCTATCACTGTGCTTTGGATATCTTTACTTGATTGTCCATGCTGAAGTATCTTGACGATGACAAATCCCCATCGTTCCTTGTTAGGATACACATGCTGCTGACAAGCATATGATCACCGTTGATTATATGAGCGAGCAGAGACAGCGGACAACGTTGTTGTCCTCATATTGATTGCCGGGAGGCGAGAGAAGGGAATTTCATGACCAAGAGACTTCATCATTGTTGTTTGTAGTGCTGACGCAATCATCGCTTCGTCGTTTCAATCAATCAATCAATCAAAATGAATCAGTCAGTCGATCAATCCAAATGAACGAATTGAGTCAATGAATCAATCAATCGATCGATTAGTCAACCATTCAATCAATGCATCAGTCAATCAACCAACCAATCAACCAGTCAATCAATCTGGAGAAAGTTGGTCCAAATATGGCTATAATGACCATGCGTTCTGTTCCGGAGAAAACATTAGTAGGATTAGCCTAACTGTTAATTAACAACATTCACATGTGTGTAGCACTGTGTACCATTCAGCCACACACGTTTCTTGCAACCTTTTGGACACAAGAGATGCGCAGCAGGTGTGCAACATAGCAGGAGTTATGGCAATGCCCCCCCCACTGGGCTTGCTTTATTTTATTTTTGTTTTTGCCACCATGTGTCCACCAACTCTGCAGATGACATGAACGTTGACTAACGGATTTCTTCTATTTTTTCCTTTTATGAAGGTTACTCAGATCAGGGTTGGGGGGTAGGGGGTCATCTGACGCTCAGCCATCGAGGGCATCCCAATCAGGGGACTGATTTCCGGGGGCTTCCCTTGGGCGGGAGACTCCCAGACTCCCAGTGGTACCCAGTCCCCAGCTACCGACCTTTCCAGCCTATCCTCCTGATTGCAACCACCCTTGATGGTAATTGTCCGCCCCATC